GAGGTATCCTAAAAGGGGGTAACAGAAAACATTTTTTAATGTCTGATTTCAAGGCGTGCCCAAACACTATCATGCAAATTATAGATCTTTATTCAAATTCTAAAGGTGAACTGATAGTGACAGACATTATGCATGATGTTGGATATCTATGAATTTTCTTTCTTCCATTCAGCAAAGCATAGCACATATTGTTCACTCTATGCCCTTAAGATTAGGTTTCCTGTCCTACCTTTTCCTGTTAAATAACTACTTAGTATTGAGAAGGTCACTTAAAATTTCTAGATATAAATTCTTTCATATATGAATGTAATACAATAGATGAAATATATTTTTAATAATAAAGCTATATGATTCTACTTGGAAATAATATTAATGTTTATGAAAATAACATTATTTTACTGTTAGTAAAATTTCTATAATATATTAATATCAATGTCATTTTAATATTTTACATTGTATATTTTGAAGTATACTGCACTCTACATTTTATTTAATAAATGTAAGTAATTGTGCCTAGATTCTGGCAATGAGAGTAAATGTAAATATACTAACTTGAGAGAGTATTAGCATGATTTTCTTTTTTCCGTATTAGAATAATATGCTGGTTTTTATTTAAGTATTCATCTGATTGGAAAATATAACCAGAATTGCAGATGTAGGGCAAAAATGTCACTGCTTGTTTCTCTGGGGACCGTTGCAGAATACTAATTGATAGCGTTTTTCCTTATTATCCTGGACTCAGCCCTGAGTACTTCTCAGTCTGGCACTGTTGACAGCTGCCAACACTCTTCAGTCACAAGTGGACTATTATTTGAAATGTTTTCTCTTCTCCTGAAATAGAAGAGTATTTTTTCTGACCATTATAGAAAATTTAGAATGTGGAAAAGTATAAACAAGGCCACATTATTTCATCATTCAGACATTTTTATTGCTGCATTTCTTTTTTGTATTTTTTATACAGAAAAGTTCAAATGAAAGGATACACATACCTGTTTTATTATGATCTGGGATTATAAAATTATACTTGACTTGTAATTTTAAATTTAATTGTGAAATATTTCAATCACACACATAACCAGGAAAATATAATATATGGTAGAAAAGCCACCCAGATTTAATGAGTATTGCTGTTTGATGTATATACTCTAGATTGTTTTAGAGGGAGGTAAATGTGACAGATAATTCTAAACTTCAAACTTTGAACCACTTTCTCTCCCTACTGTCTTGGTAATTATCATGATAAATTTTGCATGTCGCTTTTCTTTACCTAGACTTATTTTACAAAATCTATTTATGGCCATGGTCTCATAAGGCATCGTCTTCTAATTTTTTGGAAGCACTTCTGTAATTGGTATCATATAGTACCCTAATTGGAACTTTCTTTTTTTAAATGTTTCCCCAATTAATGTGATTTATATTTGCCTCCCAAGTGGACAAACTTGAAAGCTTCATCAAGTATAAAGGAATAAAAACTATCTGTTAGTTTATAGGTTAAACATACTTCTCCTTCTGTGAAGCCATCATCTCAGTCAGGATAAAGGGGCTATTAGCCCTCGGTTCCCAAGGCTTCCATCTCCCCCACCCCGCACCCCGTCATCCTTCCTGTCCCCTCCTCTCCTCCGTCCTCTCTCAGCTACTAACCTGCTTTCTGTCACTGTGATAGGGGTATGTTTTCTGGAAGGATATGTGAATGAAAACATATATGAATTTTTTCCAAGCTTCTTTCACCAGCATCGTTACCCCGAGATATTATTGTGTGCATCGATTTGGACGTGTGCCGGCCCCCTGTCAGAGCAGCCCACTTCGATTACATGATGTCTTTGTTTCCCACATATTTTTGTTTGTGCCATCATCATTATGGGTTTTCCTTCTACATTGTCATATATTTTGCAACACATTGTTATTAATGCATAAACAGTAAAATTCTAAAATATTAATAAAACCAAAGAACCTTTTACATTTACTTATATATTGTATATTTCCATTTTTATTATATTATGTAGATCCACATGCCCTTAATTCTGAAAATATTTCTTATTATTTTCAGAGTTCAGTTATGCTGTTGACTAATTTTTCTACTTTTCTTTATATTGCCCTTGTTTTGAATGTCATATAATTATAGGTTAAAAGTTTTCCTCTCAGAACTTCATGTATATCATTCTATCAGTCCTGCATTATTTGTGATGAACATTTATTAGATTTAATTACTGTTTATTTTTCTGGTGAGGTTTTATTATTTACTATATATGTTTTATTTTAGTAATTTAAAAATAACATGCTAAATTTTTTTTGCATTTTTGTTGAGAGTCTTTTTGGGGTGTGATATTTTTCTGCAAATCTGAGAAACCATTGACCATTCTTATTTTTATACAATCTCTCTTTCTTCATTTTGGGATTCAAATTATATACCTATTATACCACTTGAGATTGTTCCTCAATTACTAAAATGTATTAAAATTATTTTTGCTATTATACTTTATCTCTGTACTTTGGTTTGAATAATTTCTATTAAACAGTCTTCAAAACCATATATTTTCTTCTGTAGTATTCAAGCTCTTGATAAAGCCATCCAGTGAATTTTGTTTTCCTTTCAGATATATTTTCAAATGTAGGGGTTTTTTTTTGGTGCTTTTTCACTTGTATTTCTCTGTTGTATTTCACCATGTGGTCACTAAAATAGTCAATTTAGTCAATAATCATCAATAATTGGTAAAACTTTTAAACAAAAGGTGGCTAGGAAACTCATAATAAATGAACCAATTGATGATACATGAATCTACTAATAATCTTGAAACAAGAACAACTTCAGCACTAAAAAAAAGTGAAAAAAAACTAGATATTTTATGCCTCCAGACATCACAAAATAAGAAGTACTGAGCATCACCTCTCAGTATTTTTGACAAATACTTAAAACTGCATCTAATGAAGCCTCTACTAATTTATAGGAAGTAAACAAACCTATTAAATCACACGATGAGATATAGTTAGCCAAATCCTTATTGTGGGAAACGCTACAGGATAAGTCACAGTGTTTGTCCTATTCAAAAATGAAAAATGAAATTGAATTTTACAGTGATAAAACCTATGGACTAAATGAAACAAAGGGAGCGTATCAATAAGCCACACTGAGTGCACATAGTTGAAACCTGAATCAGAGATGTTTAAATATTTTAATTTGAACAGTAGTTAAATATTTGATTGTATTAAAGACTTATTCTTAATTTTAATATTTAATTTTGATTTTTAAATGGATAAATACACCCAGATACACAGCATTTTTGCCAGAGTGTATGTATATGTCTCTGTGTAAGGAATGGTTAATATGCTATGATGTTTGAAATTTGTTTTAATATCAGAAAATGGATATGTACATAAATGAAATAAGATTGTTCTAGCTTTGATAATTTTGAAGTTGAGTAATAGTTTCTAGGTATTTATTACACCGTTTTCTCTACCCCTACATGCATGAAAATATCTTAATATAAAGTTGACAAAAATGTCATTTGCCCAACATTATAGGCTTATTTAATATTACTGTTAGTGATAATTTATTAAATTTATGCAAAATATTTTCCAATAAAGAAAACTGCATGTTACAAATGTTTTCATTATTCACAAGCTTTTAAATATACATATTTAACAATTTCTAAACAACAGATATTACTTGAATCCCAGTCAACATAAGGATGAAATTTAAGTTTCACCTCATCTGCATTTCTTTATGACCTTCATGAGATAAACTTATATCAAAGAATGCATTGGCTAGAAGGAACTCCAGGGAGACCACAGCATCTTCACCATGTGTTCTTTCTTAATTAGGTGCCTTTCAACTCTTCCTAACGAGAGCCAAAGCCCTAAGAAATCTCTCAGGGGTGGTACAGAAATACATGAACATTCAAAACAAGATCATATAGAACACTCCTAACAGAAATAGGAACTCTATGGTTTTTTGTTGTTGCTGGTGATTACAACATTAAATTCCATTGTAGATTTGACAAAATTATTCTTCTTCCTTCATGATTCCCAAACAAACAAATCCAATTTGATTATATGGAGGTGCAAAGTAGATGAGGAAAATGCGAAGCTTTTCATTTACATAAAAGGGTGCGAATGATAAGTCATTTCAGAAAGAGCTGGTATGATCTCCAGGTAACCTCCAGGTAAACAGAGAGTTTTAAATGGAAATTTTCATAGTTTGAGGGTTTTTTTTTGTTAATAGTATATAGTAGAACATACCTTTCATCTTTAGTCTTACATATTAAAAACATTCAGTCATATTTACCCAGACACGATAATTTTGTATTTACTTTCTAAAATCACATTATTTCTTTGTTAAGATAAAAGCAATTTAATTTCTTCTCTTTCATAGCACAAAATTTTAACTATCATGCACTGACTTTCTCTTCACAGTGTTTTACAACATTAGGATAAGTGATTATTAAATTCCCTGGGTTTTAAGGTGAATTGTCTTTTTGTTTAATACTACATAAACGATACTTTGGAAAATTGTAAAATTAAACATATTTCCATTGACAAAGAGGAGACATATCACATTTCCCTCCACTGGCCTGGACTTGACTATTGCTTTAATGGGGTAATTTTTGTTTGTTTGCTTGTTTTTAAACTGAGATAAAATAGAAGCAATAAACAGGTTTAAAAAAAAAAGTCTAGCTCGGTGTCAGCTATCAATCAAGGAGACTACCAGAGCAACTTCCCAACCTTCGGGCAGATCTGACTACAGCTTAAACTGGACAGTGCCAGTGAGCAGAAACGTGTAATTATTCTATTCAAGTTGTTGCTGAGCTACGAGATATAATTAACTAGCTTAATTGAATCATAAATTAAATGTGTATGTTTGTTCTGTTTTTATGGATGCAAAAATCATATCCTTTCTTTAGCAATTATGTGAGAAGTTATTTTTAAAATGCCAAATTGTCTTTTGTTTCTTGTTCCTTAGGACATGAAAGTTATCTAAGAGTTTACAAAGGTTATAGAGAAATTATTCTCTATCGCATTTTTGTTTGCAACATATTGTCTCTCCTGAAGAGCGTCAGCTGGAATCCAAGGAGCAGAATGAATCGTTGCTTATTGCTGCCGTTTATGCTGGGAATTCCTCTCCTATGGCCTTGCCTTACAGCCACCGAAAACTCTAAAACAGAGGAAGCCAAGCACCCAGGGGGGTCTCATCAGAGGGTGAGGAGTGACTGGGTGTGGAAACAGATTTTTGTACAAGAGGAAATGAACAGGACTAATCATTTCATTGACCAGGTACTGATTTTCTGAAAACAGTGCAGGAAGTAATGTTGTATAAACCCAAACAAATGAGTCAAGGTAGTTTCGGTATTTGAAGACTTTTACATTTTCTCCATAGAACCCTTAGAAAACTTGGAATACTGTCATAAGTAATAGTTTCAGATCTGTTAGCAACGAAGGCATCCGCAGAGGCTGGAGGAAGAGGAAAGCTCTGGCTTTCCAATTTCACTGCCTTGTCTCCCACGTAAAAGTGCAGCCAACCTCCATCATCGACATCTGGACATTTAATGGTGTTATTTTTGGTAATGGATCCCAGCAACTACACTGAGAACAATAATATTGCCAACGGTATTTAGCCTGACTTTCTATTATGCTAAGTAGGGGTTGATCTACCCCTCATTAATTTTTAATGAAGCAGATTAATACCAAGTCCTTTTACAGTTAAGTAGCTTCAAGAGCCTATGCTATTTTATTTTTTTGATGAGTGAAGTTGAAGTACAAAGAATAATTATTTTCACTTTCTTATAAGAATATAGTTTAAAGAATTTCCTTTATGAGAAAGAACAGTTCTTATTTATGTTTTTGGTTTTTATTATTCGTTGATTTTCTTTAAACAGAGGTAATTACAATATCCTGTCTTTTTCTGTAAAGCTCTTTCACTAGATGAATGGACTGAAGTAAGTTTAACCGCTAATTAACTGGCACTAAAATTTAATTGGGCCCAAAGGGTGAAGGACTCAAAATTCATTAACTCCTTTTTTCTAACCCTTTCAGGAGAGCTGCAGAGTTAGCCTGGTGTCCAGATACCATAGGAGCTTATCTAGTCCATCATCAGCACGGACATGCAACCAAAGGCTTAGCTTAGGATGTTAGGCAAATGGACCAATTTCAAACTGTGTGTGCCCGCAAGTAGTATTTTTCCTCCCTTTTTATGTTCCAAGATGACTGCCGGTACATCACAGGCGGAGAGCCATGAATGAGGGCCGTGATTAAGCTTCTGCTACTAGCTGAGGCTCTCTCACCGCGTGCACACTGGGCTCCGCGGGCTCCAAGTGCTCCGCACTCCCTGAAAGGGGCGGCGGGCTGATCGTCCCTGGCTGGTGAGCCTGGTCCGTGCAGCGCTGCAGGGCAGTGCGCCAGGGCCATCGGAACTGGACTCCTCCCTGGCTGGCTGTCGCATACTCTAGTTTTCATTTTCCTGCTCCCTACACACATCTCCCCTCCTTTTATTTCCTTTCACATGGCAATTGGTTTTGCCTATTTTTTTCATTCTGTAAACATAGTTATTAAAATAGTCAAACAGATATGTTTCCTCTAAAAAAACCTCATTAAAATAAAATGAGGCTGATGCGTCCAACAGAACTTATTTTTTGATCTACTTGTTTAAAACAATTACGTTTGGAAAGCACAATTAAGTAAAAAATTCAAGTCATGTTGATTTGCCAAACTGATGATAACTGCTTAATTGAGAAGATATTTTTTGAATGAAAATATAGGAATTTTATAATACTAGAATCCATGGGATTAAAATGTGTTTAACTTCTGCGTCTTGTGACATTAAGGGACAGGTGTTCAAAATTTTATTTTTTCCTTTTTCCTTTTAACTTAAATCTAGGTCTTTAAAAAGATTAAGCCCACTGACCAACGGAAATTACCTTCTAAATATACTTGAAATGCATGTATTTATTACTAAATTTGACTTATAATATTGAATCAAATTTTCAAACTACATCAAAATGATATTTGAAAATCATGGACTATGTTTTGCTTTCATTTGATATGTTTATTTGAGAGGACATTTGTTTTCCTTAATTTCTTATTAGGTCATGAGGCTTCTTTTTTATTCTATGATAATGAAAAATTATCAAATTAAAAGAGACAGAACTTTTTAATTATCTTATTAGTATTAGTAACAATTTGTTTCTTTTACTGCATGACAGTGATATTCAACACATTATTAAAATTATTAAAATTAGTTGTTTTAGATATCTGCAGGTATTCTCCCCAACCACATAGAAAAATTATTAATTAATTCAGAATAATACATTGCACCTTGAGCTATCAGAAAAGTGATGAATTTAATATTGTATTTCTTGATGAATGTTGTAAAATTTCAGAGAGGCTTTCACTTTGAAGAAAGGTGTATTCAAAAGTGATGAAACAAGAAAACCATAGATTCACAATAATTAGGAGCTTATAGCAGACCTTCCCTTTTAAAATAATGGAGAAATGCAAAAACCATACAACCATTCTTACCTATGTCATAATAACCTTTCTTTTTATATATAAAATTAAAAATTATATTAACAGTATTGAGTAATAAACAGATTCACTTTGCTTTTAAAAAGTAAAAGTAATGAGAGCATAGGCGAGAGATATTTTTGGGAATTCAGTAGAATACACCTGGTTATAGAATTTAATCTTAAAATTACACTATACCTTAATTAACATAATATAAGGATTGCATGGATTTGTTAACTTGGGGAATAATAAGGAGGCAAGAAAAATAAAATCATGACAATTTCATTGTCCCTTTTGACATGCCCAGAAACTAAATGATCTCTTTTCACTTGTAGCCAATATATAAGCAAGGCAATGAAAACAACAATTACCAGTACAAGCTTTTTGGAGATGGAGCTGGAAGTATTTTTGTTATTGATGAAAAAACAGGTGACTTGTTTGTGGTAGAGAAGCTTGACAGAGAGGAACGGGACCTCTACACTCTGAGAGCCCAGGTGATAGACACAGCTACTGGGAAGACTGTGGAGCCCGAGTCTGAGTTTTCCATCAGAGTTACGGATATCAACGACAATGAACCAAAATTCCTGGAGGAGCCTTATGAGGCCATTGTACCAGAGATGTCTCCAGAAGGTATTACATCTTAATTTACATCAAACATGTATTAACAAGGAAACCAGATTTAAGATTTTGAGCATAGGCTTTGGAAGTGAATTATTTGAAAATTCTACATTTGTACTTCCTTCTATAAGCATATTAAGTTAAATATTTGAAAAATGAAACTACAAAACTTTTATGAACACTGATAAATTATTCATCTTGTTAAAATGTGTTCTGTCTTCAAAGCAATACGGAAAAGTTTAAACATGTTTATTTGAGTGATCTATAAAATTCTTTAGCTTCTTCACTTACTAGTTCTTCAGTATAAAACTTTATTTTCCAAGATAATATATACTTTTATATCCTAAAAGGAAAAAATGGTCATCCTTACAGATATGTAGAGAAAAATGGAAATCAATATAAAAAACAAAAATTCTCTGTGTACCAAAATCATGAAACATGAAGACTAAACATGTGTCTTCACTAAAGACTAAACAAATTGAATGAATATCTCTGTGAAACTGTATACACTTCCAAGTTCCTTTTTAAATCCAAGGGTACTTTTATAAATATTTTAAATACAATACATGCAGAATATTTTTTCATGAGACATAAGAAATGACTACCTTGGGAATCAGAAATGTCTTCACAATATGGGGGAAATTATAGTGGTTATGCAAAATTGGTCCACTCACTCATTGAGTCAGAACATTTTGATAACACAATATGTAATAAAATTTAACTTATACAATTCACTAACATGTGAGTAGCTTAAATGTGATCCAATTATAGTCATTTAAAATTTCGTTTCCATGCTCAAAACCTGTTTTACCCGAACCTGAATGTTTGATTCATAAGCCGGTGAGGGTACAAACTTCCTGTTATAAGATGATTAGAGTCTAGGGACATAATACATAGTACGGTACTGTTAACAGTACAGTGTCATATACTTGGGAGTTGCTAAATGAGTAGATCCTAACCGTTTTCACAATGAAAACAAAATTGTAATTATGTGAGGTGTTGGAGATGTTAACTAACCTTTTTGTGATCATCATTCCCTCATATATGTGTGTATCAATCATCATGTATCTTAAATTTATTTAATGTTACATGTTAATTATATCTCAAAGAAGCTGAAAAAAACTTCACTCTAAAAATATTTATCATCAACATGGTATAAAATATGTCATAAGGTTGAGCCATTATAAAAAGGAAGTTGAATTAAATTTGTGTAAAATTTATATAGATTTCAATTTTTTTCATGAATTATAATAAGGAATAACATGTAGCAGAAATTTTTCATAAATATAAAAATCTTTGTTTCTTAAAATATGTCAGATATGATAATTAGATCCTATGGAACTTATGCATTTGGATACATGACTCGAAAGTGATGTAGACTATGATGGATTGATCTTTATGTTCTTTTTTAATATATTATTATTTGTTTATAAAATACAGACCAATTTACTTGACTTAAATTCTCTCATATTATTAAAGTTACAAGTGTCAAAACTGCAACCCAAGAATAATAAGAATGGCCTATTTTCCAGGTGATTATGGGCAGAAGACAAAATTATTTAAAGATTACTTTGCAAATTTATGCTGACAAGAGGGAAATTCCATTTGTTTCTTGAGCTTCATCTGGAGGTTCTAGGTTGTGACGTAACTGCATCTCAAATATAAACATAGTAAGGATGGGCAAATCAATACTTGTAAATAATTAATAATCCTTATATTAATAAAGTAAGTTCTCAGAGTCAAGGAGGGAACAGGTGCATGGATTAAACCATCGTTCCCCTCATGTGTTAGCTTTCTGAAAATTACTATATCATCTCATATCTTATATCTGTTTTTGTTGTTACCATAACCACAGATTTAGGCTATACATCGAAAGAGTATTGTTTACTTTGAATTTGAATTTGACCATTATACAAGTCCACATCCTCTTAATAAATGTGTTGCAGATTAATCAAAGTGGACTCATACTAAAACTGCAAGTAAGAATAGCTTTTCTGTTAGACAATTTATATCTTCATTTGAAGAAATGCCTGATAATATTTTTAGCATTGAATTTAAAACAAAAATACTACATACAAAAATAAATGAGTCATTTTGAAATCTACAGTTCAAGTCTTGGCATTCAAGCACAATATTAAATTCTAGCATGCTGTTTATATAGTATTCTGTAATAAATGCAAACTTTATATACATAATGTTTTTGCCACAGGTTGCTGGCTTCTCTATTGCTTACATGATATTTAAACTAGTCTATATATCAAAATTTATCACTCTTTTGCATTTTTATGTTTGGATGCCTCCCATAATAATGAGAAGATAAAGCATTCTCTGTGAAATATGAGACACTGTCATCTTATACAGTTTTGCTACTAATATTAAACAACATTTTGGTGAGAATCATTCAGTCCTCTGTAATTCTTCTGGTTTGTACTGAAATCCATGTAAATCAACATTGGCAGAGTTGCACTATTCTTACATCAGATTTTACTCTCGATGGGTAAATAGGTCTGAAGTGTTGAGAATATAATTGATGCTATCAATAATGCTTGCAACCTTCAAAAATTTTATGTACTTTTATAAGTTTTAGCGCTTATTAACATTAACACAGGAAGCATAATTTGTCACTCCTCATACATAATAAATTCTTTGTATTAACATACCATTACTTCATTATAATTTTCTATCTATGTCATAACAATGAAAAAGTATGTCAGCAAATGAAGATTCTAAATGGGAGTACTAAACTATGATTTTTCTCTCAAGCACTTGGTACGAGTTTACTTCTTATGTGACCAATACAGCATGTCTGATAAAGTAGGCAAAGTCAAATATCACCTTAAATTTATTTTCATAGAGTTATTTTGCAAAATAAAATAAGCTCTAAAGATTCAATAGCTAGCTAAGAAGATAAAACTGATTTTAAATTTGCATTTTTGAAAAAGTCTCTTAAGGGCAATATTGGCAGACAACATCAACTATCATTGTGATAATAGAACCCGGGATTATGCTATTGAATATTATATTTGTATTATTCTGAGAGAACAATATTTTTTGCAGTTAAACTTCTGTTCACTAAACAGAATAGATAAACATTGATTTAAGAAAATTTTGGGGCAGCAAATGCAACTGTTTGCTCTTACAAACTATTTGACTAAGATAACGTGACTCCACTCAGAAGGCTTTTAGCACTTTCTGGTTTGCATTCCTCTCTAATTCAACTTCAAGGATGCAGCTAATTTAAATTTTTAAGAGTTGCCGTGAACTTCCCAACTCCAACTACAAGATGGTGTCTGCAAGACGGTATGGTAGGAGATAAGGGTGAGGCAGTTCAATACCCACATACCCCACTCTCCCGTGCACACGGTCCTGGGGGTCATTTAGTATGGTCACAGGCATTCTAAAGTGGGGTTATCTCATGTCCAGTTTTAACCAGGACAGCTCTGCTTAATCCTATTTTATTTCTGGAATTTTTCTAGAAACATTTGTCCCTGATTATTTATTTTAATTTTTTTCACCATTTTAAATCAATATTGGGGTAATATTGGTTAATAACATTACATAGGTTTCAAACATATGACTCTGCAATACATCAAATGTATATTGTTTTGGGTGTGAACCTCAGGTGGTAAACACGCAATCATGTTTTATTTTTTTAATAATATTATTAGTAGGTGCATTACAATAAACTAGAGTGAATTTGGTACATATTTACTTTTTACTTGTAGCTTCTTCCGTGGAGTATAAGAAATAACATGCTAGAAAATAAAAAGTCTTAATACTAAGAATTTCTTTTGGTCAATAGCTAACCATACCATGCTTTTGACTATCATTCCTGGAGCTGCATACAAGTAGCCTAGTTCTAGAAACTAGGGTTGGGAAATCCCTGTGGAGAGAAATTAAATGGAGACAGTGAGAACTTGTAGGAGAAGTAAACGATGTGTCCACAGAAGAGTAGTTAAAAGAACATCTTGCCCAATACAAACTGCGTAAACTGATAGTCCCTAAGAAAGCTTTTGTTGGAATAGCTTCACAATAACTTCAAGGATCGATCGATCTATCTATCTATTTATCTATCTATCTAGATATAATTTTAATATTACATTCCGAAAGTTTAAGGCGTACAATGTGCTGATTTGATATATTTATATACTACAATACGCTTGCCACAGAAGCATTGGCTAGCATCTCTGTCACATCACATAGTCATTATTTCTTTTTGTAGTGAGACCTTTAAGATCTCATCTCTCAGCAACTTTGAAGTTTATAATACAATATATTTGATGATAATCACTCTATTGTGCATTAGCTCTTTAGAACTTACCTTCTAGATGCAACCCTTTGATCAGTAACTCCTCAGTCCCCCCATCCCCAGCCCCTGATAACCAGCCATCTACCCTCTGTTTTTATGTGTTTAGCTTTTTTAGATTCCACATATGATATCATGCAGTATCTCCTTTCTCTGTCTGATCTTACTTATCATAGTGTTCTTAAGGTCCATCAGTGTTGTTACAAGTAGCAGGGCTATATTTTAAAATGTTTGAAATGAATGTGTGTACATTTGAGTAGTTTTGCCTTATAAAACAAGTATTAAAAAACTAACATAAAAATATTAAACAAAACAGCAGCCCTGGCTGGTGTGGCTCAGTGGGTTGAGTGCTGGCCTGCAGACCAAAGTGTTGTTGGTTTGGTTTCCAGTCAGGGCACACGCGTGGTTGTAGGCCATGTCCCCAGTAGGGGGCGCACAAGGGGCAATCACACAACGTTTCCCTCTTTCTCCCTCCCTTCCCCTCTCTTAAAAGTAAATAAATAACATCTTTTAAAAAAAGCCAGCAAACATTACATACATAAGGTCCATGATAAAGTTTCAACAATTTTATCACTGAAGAATGCAAGGACTTGCTATTAGAGTTTCTAGGTTGTAATGAAAAAAGTCATGGTGCTAGTTGTCAAGAAAATCACATAGGCCACTTGATTTTATGCTGTTGTGTTACCATTCTTACTGACGTGGCACATGATGTATCAATAAATGCAAATTTTCAGGGAGATCCATAATGCTAGACTCCATAGTAATAATGAAAAAGCTTAATACTTTTAAAGAAATTTAATTTGAGCATTAATTTTAAATGTACAAGTACTTATTTTTCTATATTTTATTGATTGCTACTAGATTTTAATGCCAGTGTTTATCAGTATCTGATAGATTTTGCTTTGTACTTAAAAAAAGTTTATAAGCAAGGAGGTAGTTTATAGAAGGGAATTAAGCGGGCAAAATAGTTATTCCTCTCCTCAACTTGATACTACTTCAAATTCATTTAAATGATCTTTATTAATATTCTATCAACATTCTCCAATTTTTTGAGTTATTTATCACAACATAATTTTGAAGGAAAGTGTTTCCAATTTTTTAATTTCTCTACTAACCACACACCTTTGAAAAATCTGAATTACACATTGTAATGGATTGGTCAATGGTTACATTAAATTATGTCATAGATTTAATTAAAATTCTACAGTGTATATGGGAATTAGAGCCATTTTGTATGAGGATATATTCTCTTGTGTCTGCAGAAATGTATTACATAGTTTTGAAACTCAAACAAAGAGGTATGCTAGTATTTGACTGTATATCATCATCGTACTTGCTAAAGAAAGAATGCTCTACAGAACTGAATTGATTGTTCGGGCATACCAGGGTCTGAATTTCTTGCAACTGTTTACTCTCTCTTCAGAGACGTCTGTCATCCAGGTGACAGCAAGTGACGCTGACGATCCTTCCACTGACCATAATGCTCATCTCGTGTACAGCTTACTGCAAGGCCAACCATATTTCTCCATTGAAGCAAAAACAGGTATTTATGAATGAAGCAAAGTGCAATTCTATGTAATTCTCAGTAGGCAAACATAAGAGCAAAAATATTCAGCTTACAAACATGTGTAACATACCTATTGTTATGCAAATAAATAAATAGGTTGTATTTTAAACACAATCATTTTTCGTCTTCTAGCTAATCTTTCTGAGGTTGAAAGATTGGATTTTACACATCCATACCACAAATGGTCTGTGTAGGGGAATAAGACATGTGTAAGGATTCTTGCTAATCAATTAGAAAATGACAGATAACCCAATTAAAAACACAGGGAAAAGAACTTACAAGCAATTGACAAAAAGCCTACAAGCATATTAGAAATGCTCACCACATTAATCATCATGGAAATACTAACTAAAACCACAAAGAGACACACCTGCAAACCAAACCAAAATGACTAACATCACACAGGACTTGGCAGCTACATATAGGAACTGATATGAGGCATTCACTTGCAAAAAAAAGTCTTGTTGCATTTTATCTATTTTTTATTTAGATTTATACTTGAATTTCTAAAATTGCTTTTCCAATTTTCATTGATTAATTGAATATTTTATAAAGTGAATAGGACATGTTTCTTGTCTTTTAAATATATCAGTTGAATACATAAGAATTACATGACACTATTTCATTTTACAGATTTTTTTATTCTTTCAAATACATTTGTCAAATACATTTGGACGTGATTGTCACGTCCAAAGCAACGGTTAAGCCCATATGAATCCTACCTTTAAGAGCTTATGGTTTTTAGAAATGGAAAGAGAAAAGTCATAAAAGTATGTAACTAACCTCCAAGAATGTGGCAGGTGTCAAAAGAAGGAAACTGTTATGCTTATTAATAAGAGGCAAATTATTTTTCCATCTTGGTGACATGAAAAGCTTACAAGAATTAGAGCATTTTGTTGGACCTTGAAACATTTCTTATTAATTCATTTAATTAACAGATAATAAATATCTCAGCCTTTATCAACCAGCTTTCTTGGGAGAGATTCTGAAAAATAGAATTTGAGTAACTATATTTTTAATTCTACCGAGGATGGTACCTAGCTTCTAATATTCTGGATGCACAAAACAAAAGCTATTTTAATACATGTGATGGATTCCTTAAGACATTATGTTTTAATTCCCTCACACATTCTTGGTTGAGAAGAGTTGAATATGTAATAGGCATTGTACAACATACTGAATTTAGAACATTATAACCTAAAAAAGATAATAGCAAAAACAAACAACATGCACTTCTCTCCTAGAACTTACAAATGTATATTAAACATGTGAATATTCATGACTACATATACTCAGTTTGTGAATATTATTAAGTGAAAAAAACCCTATCCAATAAGACAAAAAAAGTGAAGACTAACTGATACTGTGTGGTCATGACAGAACCCACTGAAACCAGGATGCAGAGCAGAGCCTGTGGCCTAGGACCAAAGAGAGGAAGGGCGTCCAGGTCACGGGAAGAATGTAGGAGCCATTGCCAAGATGGGAGCAGGGCGAAGCTCTTAGGTTCAAGGCCAGTGTGGAAGAGCACAGAGGAGGAGAGGAGGAAGTGAGGTATCAGAACAAGAGACATGTGCTGGGTCATACTGGAGCTTCTTGACCGTTCTGAAGCACTGTCTTTTTTCCCCAGCCATTGCTGTTTTTAAAAAATGTACTGAACAAGTTAGCTAAAGCTATGAATGGCACTAATGGAGGTGAGGTGGAGTGGGCAGCAAGAAAAATGAGAGCCCCCTAAAAATTAACTTGTGAGTTTTGGGGTATATATAAGGAGATTGGGGAATATACAGGGTCCGGCAGCAGTAACACCATGGAGTGTGGTTGGTACGGTATGTGAGTGTCTTGCATAAGATGGATACAAATTTGGAGTTTTCACCTAAAGTGCCATAAGTTGTGCTTGAGTGTGATATTTTTATGTTACGGAATTACATGCTTATGATATTGTAATAAAAAAGGGGCATTATTTTGTGCTGGACCCTGTATATCCTTTGTTCAGTCTGAAGGTAAGAAGAAAAGTTAAAAATAAAGTGGACAAAGGTCATGGAAGCCCCCACACACAGGGATAAAAGGTCTCTATGTTCCTCTCACTCCTTCTCTGGTCTCTACATCTTTGGATATATCATATATGTCAGAAGCTCTAATACTACTTTCCTTTGCTAATATGAAACAATTCTCTCTTGAGTCATGCACAGGGAGATACTAGCAGCATCTGTTTATTATATTTGAGAGTCTTCATAGCGATTCACATAATAGATTATAATTGCAAAATACTCTTTCCACAATTAAAACCCTGTCACAATGTGGTCTATTTTATTATTAAAAAAAAAAAAAACTGAGACCACACTTTTTTTTTAATGAACTCTTTTTCTCCAGACATATTTGAGGTTTGGTCATTATCTTTCCCATGTTTTTGTTAGGTGTTCCCAAATTCTTTAGGACTTTGTTCCCCTTGTAACCACTGAAATCTTTCCAAGGTTTCATTCAGTGACAATTTTTTCACTCACTGATTTTCTAGAAAGTGGCCATTCATTACCATATTTATCATGGTTCATCTTGAATTTAAATATCAGTATATAGATTCATCTTTATGGGTAGATTATGGATAATTATTTTTTGACAGTTAACTCAAAATTTGTTTTGCAAACTCACTGCAAAGCACACTTCACTCGATAGTTCAACCATGATTAATATCATAACAGGTTAAATTCTGAAATAAAAATACCAAATAAATGGTACAGAATATGATTTTACCTAGTTTATCTTCTGGAAAGCATCTGTATCAGACATACATTTTGAAATAATTTTCTATTTAAAGTTGTGTTAGGCAGAGCCGATAATGAGATTGCAATAATATAGTCAACCATCCTTTGAAAAGTCGAACCATGCTACATATCATAATTATGTGTCAAAAACCATCCTTTCTTTATACATCAAGACTCAAAATAGACATCACAGGTGCACAATATTTTTTTACATAAATTTGATATTGTAATTTACACATTTACCCAGAATAACTTATCTTATTTCAAGTTAAGAAGAAAAGGTAACTGTAGCACAATAATATTTTACTCGAGAAGACAGCAGAAAATAGTTGACGTAAAAATAAGACAGTTTTCTTTTCTACCTGTGGGTTATCATAAAATGGGATTTTATTGAGGGTCTACTCATGTCCTTAATGTTGTGATGACACATTGAAATCTAGGCAGAATTGTTTCATTTATTAGTATTATTACTTTTTCTCTGGAGCAGTGTCTAGCACATTCATAGTGGTTTGAAATGTGTCGGAAGTATGATTATATGGTTGAATTCTTAAGAAATTCCTAGGAAGATGCCATGGTTCATAATGAAATATTAACTGGAGTTTATCACATTTTTAAAGGCGTTGTAAGAATATCTTCTAAAATGGATAGAGAGCTGCAAGATGAGTATTGGGTAATTATCCAAGCCAAAGACAGGATCGGCCTGCCGGGAGCACTCTCTGGAACGACGAGTGTATTAATTAAACTTTCTGATGTTAATGACAATAAACCTATGTTTCAAACAAGTAAGTAGAGAGCATCTTGAATTTTCATTACAAGCTCCTTGTAAGTATGTTGAGTACATGCAGATGTTACTTTGCATTCCAAAAGCACTGCGACAGCACTAAAATTACATAAAATAAATGTAATTGTTCTAACTGTGATTATTTTCATTAGTGTGAAAAGTCAAATGCAAATGAAAGAGTAATATGTTCTTTTTCAATTGCTTCTATAACCAATCGCCACCAACTTCACTTCTTAACACTAATCAATTACCTCAAGACATCTGGTATGGGCGTCAGCAAGTCAAGTCAGGTGAAGCGTGGAGTGCCTGTAGGGCTGCCTTCCTTTTTCTGGGCTCGAGGGCAGGACCCCTTTTCTTGGATATGGGAGTTGGCAGAATTCAGTTCTTTGTGTTTGTAGGATTAAGGTCTTCGTTTCCTTGATGGCTGTCAACTGGGTGCCATGCTTAGCTCCTTGAGGACTCTTTCTGGTTTTTGTGCAGGGCCACACCTGTCAGAGGCAGCAAAGGGTGTCATATCCTTTTCTCTCTGCCCACGCTGACCCACAGTTTTACCTCTTCTTCTGTTTTAAGGACACATGTGATTACGTTGAGTTCTTCTGTTTTAAGGACGCATGTAATTACATTGAGTTCACTTGGATAAACCAAGACTATCTCCGCATTCAAGGTCAGCAGATTAGCGACCTTAATGCCACCTAAAACCTTAATTCCCTGTTGCATGTTTTCTGGGACATTAAGACAAATACTTTTGGGGGTCATTCTTTGACCTGTTACCAGTAATGATCTAAAAGTCTTACAAGATAATCTGTGCAGTGGTTTGCCTTATGCTTGTCAGGAAAGCAAGAATCCCTTTAAAGAAAATTATATTACTTTTTTTTAATTCTAAGAAGTTTCATTCTTTAGAATAGTAAAATATATATTTCCTACATTTTAGCATTAATTAAAGCAATAAATGACTGGTTAGTCTTTATCAGTTTTAGGCAAGATACTTTTGAAAAATATGGAAAAGAGCTATTTCTATTTATTATCTATGTGTTTCTAGTATAATTATCATGAATATTATTGTGTCTAAAATAATAAAATCATTTAATTTAAACATAGTTATTCTACTACATCCATCTACCAAATTTTATGGACCCAACTTCCTTTTTCACTTCTGCTATAACTAATGGAATCCAGGCTCAAAAATCTCAAAATCAAAGTACTGTACTTAGAACTCAACTATTGCTTGAAGTCTCTCCCATCTTTAACTCATTCTTACATTTTTTGGTTTCTTTAGGTATTAGAATGCTTGAGTGAAATTGAAAAACTCTTTTAATCAAATTTAATATTAGATGGCTGAAGGGCAGAATAAAAAATATATTCATGAATATTGAGAAGGTATTTACATAAATAGAAACTTGGAATGTATATGTACTAGTAATAGGACTTACTAAGATATATTTAAGAGACTACTAGCTGCTCAAATAGATTTTTAAGGAAATGTTCAGATTGTAAAAATAAAGAAAATATATACACATACATATTTGGTTGGGTGTCATACTGCAAAGCAAAAGGTCACTGGTTCAATTCCTAGTTAAGGCACATGCCTGGGTTGTGGGTTCATTCCCCAATCTATCAGCACTTCTCTCCCTCTTTCTCCTTCTCTTTCTCTCCCTCTAAAATAAGTAAAATATTTTAAAAAAGAAAAAAGGAAAGGTGGGCATGGGTCCATAAATAAAGGGTGCTATAATTGGGAGATTCCTATGTTTATTATTTATACAAAGTATCTTGAATTTTGTCTTTGAAGGTTTATTCCGAATGAATGTCTCTGAATCTACACCCACTGGTACTTCTATAGGAAAAATCATGGCCTATGATAATGACATAGGAGATAATGCAAAAATGGAGTATATGATTGAAGATGATTCACAAACATTCGATATCATTACTAATCATGGGACCCAAGAAGGAATAGTTATATTAAAAAAGGTAGATATATTAAAATTATTTGCTTTGCAGAATAATGCAAAATCAAATCAGACATACATACAATTATTTTGTATGTATGTATCCAGTTAGCTTTGCTTCATTAAGTAATTGAAATAAGAACCTGTGACTTATTTATGGTTTAGGGAGACAAGGAATTTAGAGATGTGATTTCAGTATTACAGAGCTTCTTGAATTATATGTAGAATATTTTTTAAAAGTGTGTTTTAAATAGAGGACAAACTTTTTGAAAAGATCTTAAATAACAAGAAATTAATTCTTAATTCCATAAGATATTTATGCCCAGAAAAGTATAATCTTAAACCTAAATTTTAAAAAGTGTAGTTATTATCTCAAAGCATTTTGTAATAGATATAAATAATAAAATACAAATAGGGATTTACTGTGCAACTGCTTAATGCTAGTATCAGAGGAATCCAAGCAGATAAAAAGTAAAACCAATATGCAGATCATAGATTAGAGAAATGTACACCTGAAACCTATGTAATCTTATTAACCAATGTCACTGCAATAAATTTAATGAAAAGGAAAAAAATAACACAGAACAACCTAAGTAACAAAAAACTAAAACCTAACTGAAACTGAAGTAATGCAGCAACAAAACCTGTCTTTCTCTAAGTAATGCCTTGGGTTACTGAAGCCATTTCTTCTGTATACCCTGTATTTCTTTGTAGAAAGTGGATTTTGAGCAGCGGAACCACTATCGTATTACAGCAAAAGTTAAAAACCCCAATGTTGATGAGCACCTCATGAAATACCACGATGAACCTTCCACCACAGTCATTATGGTCCAGGTGGGAGACGAAGACGAACCCCCAGTCTTCCGCCTCCCCCATTATGTATTTGAAATCTTTGAAGAGAACGCGCAGGGATCATTGGTGGGCATGGTCTCTGCCACAGATCCAGATCAGAAGCAGTCTCCTATCCGGTAGGTGTGCAAGGCCAGCTTTGCAGTAATTAATGCGTGGACACAGACTGGCTTAGATATGGGATGTTATGAGAACGTAACAAGGATATGCCCACATTTCTCTATATGGTACTTAGAGCCTCATTATTGGTTAGAAAACAATGAAATAAGTGACTGCTAATACGCAAGAAATAAGCAATCACCATCTAAAATTGGATGCAACCAACTCTATAAGTTTGGGTAAGAAAGTGAGGATAAGGAAATCCTTGATTACGTGCAGAGATGAAACAAAGATGCCCCAACTGTGCTTCTACTTTAATAGCATTTAATTAAAATAATATTGAAACAGTGAGAAACGTTTGCTTAGCTTTGGCCAGGTGGCTTAGTTGGTTGGAGCGTCATCCCGCACACCAAAAGACTGTGAGTTTCATTTCAACTCAGGGCACGTGCCTGAGCTGTGGGTTCTTGCCCCATGGGGGCACTTAGGGAAGCCAGTCTGATCGATGTCCCTCTCTTACGTCACTGTTTCTTTCTTACTGTCTCTCTCTCTCTAGCTCTCTCGTTCTCTCCTTTACTCTCCTTTAAAATCAATAAACGTATTTGCAGGTGAGGATTAAAATAAGATTGAGAAAGCTTTTTATAGGATACCATGTAAAAGAGTAAAAATGAGGTAAGTCTAATCAGTGAGAAATAAATTTCTGTGTTACAGTTAAACAGTATTTGTCAAACACTATTCTGCTGTATTCGTGTGTTCTATTTTCTTCTTTTTCAATATTTGAACAGTAGGTTTGGTTAGACATAAAAACAAAGTCTGCTGCATGTTCCCTTAATCATCTATTTACCACCATGTACTTATGGTGACGCTGGCCCTAATGTGCACTTTGTAGGAGCTACAGATACAAAGAAGGGTCTTCTTTAAATCTTTGAGACAAAGGGATGCTCCCACTTTTCTGCTGTAATTGCTAATCACAAAAGCTGATTCCTAATATGCAGATATACTTGTGATTTAGTTATAATAATTTAGTTATAGTAATAGTAAACTTATATAACCATAAACTTATAGTAATTTATAGTTATAGCAGTTACTCTTATATAGTAATACATATAGTCATATTTTATATATAACATATACACTTATATTTTTATATATAACTAAGCAATATACACGTCTTTATATATAACCACTATAACCCAGTAAATCAATTGTTTAGATTTTTAAAGTAGTATACCTATTAACTTGTTTTTCTTCTTAGATTACTATAAAATACCTAATATTTTTTATTCATATACTTTAAAGATTCCATTTGTTTTTAGTGAGAGGGGAGGGAGAAAGAGAGAGAGAGAGAAATATTGAGGTGAGAAAGAAACATTGGTTGGTTTTCTCTCACATGCACCCCAACCTGGGACTGTACCTGCAACCCAGGCCATGTGCCCTGACCGGGAATCGAACCTGCGACTTCTCGCATTGCAGAGTGATGCCCAACCAACTAAGCCACACCAGTTAAGGCTACCTAATATTTTTAAAATGCTTTAATGATTATGCTGTTCATTGTACAATTGTTTATGATAATGAAGTATTGAAAACAATTTAGATGTTGACTCTTAATGATGTAAATAAGGCAACAAATGACAAATGATTTACAACAAAGCCTATGAACATTGATTTAAAAAAGGCATGATTTTAAAAGCTAATATAAAATTATTAGAGTTGTGTATTTACTACAAATAAAAATGTTAGGGGTATATGAGGCAAGTAAGTGAGACACCCCCAAGTATTAACAGAGGTCACACGTTTTATATTATCACTTCTTATAATTACTTACCTTATTTTCTACCCAAAATATTTTTTACTAATAATTTTCATATTTATGCTGAAATTAATTACTTTTAAAAATAGTTTGGGAGCACTTATCAACAAAAATATATTTCAGTGCCTTTTCTGGACATATTTTTCATTTAGAAGTATCTTTTAAATGAAATTGCTTTTCAGTTTTTTTTCATGTAATATAGCAAATGTACAAAACATATCAAGAAAACAAAATTAAAATTTATATATATTTGGCTTTTATGTGCCTCAGTTTCTTCTGAGAAGTGCGAATAGAACCTGTGTAGTTGCACAAGCATTAAGAAGAAAACGTAAAGGCCTCTGGAGATTGAAGCATGGAAGAATCTTTTGTTCGTATAATTTTGGCAAGGGCTGTGAGCAAGGAGAAAAAGTTGCAGTAACCTTTTATTCATTTGGCTTTTTTAAAATTTGGTTTATTGGCGTGACATTGGTTAATAAGGTTATTTTGGTTTCACGTGCACAACTCTATGATACATGATGTGCATAGCACGTCGTGTGCCCAGCACCCACAGTCTCCTCTCCTTCCTTCACCGTTTATCCTGCACCCCCTCACCCTTCGCCACGCCCCATCCCTCTTCTCTCTGGTAACCACCAAAATGGTGTTTGTGTCTATGAGGTTTATTTTGTTCATTTGTTTTTCTTGTTTGTTCATTTGTTTCTTTCAGTTCTATAACCCACATACGAGTGAAATCATATGGTTCTTAACTTTTTCTGTCTGATTTGTTTCGCTTAACATGATATTCTCAAGATCCACTCATGTTGCAGCAAATGACAATATTTCATCTTTTCTAATGGCTGCGTAGTTTTTTCATTGTATATATTTTTAAAGAAATGAAGAGTCCATAAAGGGAAATTTGAAGTGAACCAAATATTAATCTTTTAAGCATCAAAAGTTTACATTTTAAGCGTTTCAGCTGAGGCCCTTTAAAATGCATTTCAGACATGTTTCCTATCCTACATGTATTTATTGAGTATTACTTAACTCAAGATCATGTTACTGTTAACGCAAGATCATAACTTTTTGAAACTTTTACTTGGACATAATCTCTAACTTTTGATTGGTTTTATTTTTGACTGGGGTATTATAGAAACTAGATATTCTAGATATTTAGTATACAATGTGAACTGGTAAAAGGCTGTTTCATTTGTCAACAAATATCTTAAGTAGAAAATGTGACCACTTGTGGGTATGTAAGTAAATCACTTATAAAGGCTTAAAAGTGAGTGAAGTTCAAACTTAATTCGTCTAAAGCTAAATTCTATGTAATTTCTATTTTAATTCTCCCTAGAACACCAAGCTACAAATTAGTGATATTTTTAGAGAGCTGTCAATTGGAGATTAAAATAGTCCCATCTTTTGCTATCTAATTATGGCAAACCTCACTGAGGGCTCATCAAAGCCTTCCGGAATATTCCTGCCATGGGAAGCCATCGCCTCGCCCTCGTTACTACTCTTCGCTCACTTTTATCACCCATCATTTTCAGGCGGACAAGACACGCAGAGCACTCCAAAGGCTTCTTTCGTTGTGGGGTTGAAGATCATTTTCCAGACTTTTCAATATACAAAACAGAGTTTCATCTCGTATTTTTGTTTATAAATTATATATTATATAAATTATACTTATATAAATTATTGTATTATTTCCATACCAACAACAGTGATCCTACCTTTCCCTTTATATGCAAAATTTATTAACTATTGTCATATTGTTTTCTTTCAGCAAACAAAAATGGACACTTTCTCATAGGCTGGCTATCAAGTAATTAGAATATGATACGCAGATTTAACAAGCAACTCTGTGGTGTTGGAATGAGATTCAGAGCAGTCTAATTGTGTTTTATGTTGCTTCATATTAAGAAGAACATTTCACATGCATTCATTTTTATCCCCATTTATTTGAATTTCTTTTTATTTTGAAAATGACATTTTGCTATTTCTTTTTAAACAAGTTACTCACTTATTAACATTCTCTCCGGGAATGAATATGAGTTTAGATTGAGCAAACATCAGTTTAAATCTGTTGCCATTTTAGTTTCTTTTTTTCCTATCTTCATTGAATTGAAATACAAATATATATGTATATCTTCCTGAAAATTGTTCAGAATTTAATTACCTGTGTGGAGCATGCATTTAATAATTTGTCTTTGTCTTATTGCCTTAAAAGGGTGTTATGTATCACTGTTACACAGAGAAAAAAGTAAAATTAAGGGACACTCTTTTTTGGCTCAGGTATTCTCTAAACATCACCGGAAGCAACGCATTCTGTATCGATGACAATGGCACCATCTTCACTGTCCACCCTCTTGATCGAGAGATGAGTGCTTGGCACAACCTGAGCATTAAAGCCACAGAAAAATGTAAGTGCTCATTTGGGAACCACAGGTCAGTTCACCATAATGCCTGAATGTAGGGACAAAAACTACCTTAAAACATTATTGGGATTAGAGTTAAATGACATTTTATATGTCAATTCATACATGAGTATTTATTTCATTATTTTAAATGAACAATGTCTGCTCATTGCTATTGTGCTTATAAATTGCTTCACCATGTAAATTTCAGTGGTAATATAAATAAACCACCTGAATAGTAGGAAACAGAGCATCACCAAAAAAGCGTCATAAAAAAACACCTGCTGCATGCAGTAAATACCTGGAAGCATGAAATAGAACAGTTATGTGGATCGTAGGAACGAGATGTTGCCTTGTAACTTTTATCAGAAAATGAAGTTCATGTGCTTAGTCTCTTTCCTGGGAAACTTCCCAAATTAAGCAACAAGCTATTTATCAGCATGTCAGCTAAGTGAGTAAAACCATAATTTTAAAATAAAGCTGTGAAGATATCAATGTATGTAGGTTTTAAGTAGTCATGCCAAAAGTTTAATTTGAACATAATTTTAATCAGAATTTTCAGAGAAAAAGAATAAAAACTTTAAATGAATTTTGTACTAATTTTTTTTAAGTTATTTGTACCTGGAATTCTTTTTCCAGTTTACTTATTTAAACAAAAAGTCGCCTATGGTTATATTTTATATGTTTAAATTATTAAAAGATGCACCTTAAATTTGGAATCGTTATATCATGAAATCTCCAGAAACACTTTTTATATTTTAATGTTGTATTTATCTGTTATCCTAAATATAACATAATAGAGAAAAGTCTCAAAATAATTCTTTTTTTTTAAAGAAAGATTTTATTTATTTGTTTTTAGAGAGAGTGGGAGGGAGGGAGAAAGAGGGAGAGAAACATCAATGTGTGGTTATCTCTCGAGCACCCCCTACTGGAGACCTGGCCCACAACCCAGGCCTGTGCCCCGACTGGGAACCGAACTCAGTGACCCTTTGGTTCTCTGGCCGGCGCTCAATCCACTAAGCCACACCAGCCAAGGTTCAAAATAATTCTTAATGACATGTATTTTCTAAAAGCTGTGGGTTTTTGCTTTTGTTTTTATATGTATTAAACCTTGCAATTTTTAATTTTTAAATAAATTAAAACTGCATTTTCTATCACAATTGTAATTGTTGTTAATTGGCAAAGATGGTTGTAAACAAAATTTCATCCCAACCCAGAAGCCCTCTCTACTATAGTGAAAAAGAAACAGTTTTATCATTGAAAAGAATTACAACAGAATGTGATGTGCGTTCAAGGAAACCTGCTAAGAGACTGCCAAGACAGAAAGACTGCTCACCCTTTTAAATACCCCGGCAGACACAGCCCATTGCAGGCATGTCCTCAAGAGAAGCAATTACTAGCCTTCAGTAGGAGGAAGTCACATCACTTGTCCCACATAGTTCCTTTTAAATGCACTAGGTAGTTGGAGTGACCCTCTGAGTGTGTTAATTGACTTTCTCCAAATGAAAACTGAACTTTTCATTCCTTCATGACAAAAAGTAATTTTTCAAGTTGGGTCAAGGCCTTTGCTAAAGTTTGGCTCCTGGCCTGTCACAGGAACTGGAAGGAAGGTGTGCTTCCTCCTTGATGATTTCATTTCAAAGAGTTGACTCCCAGTACTTGAGAAAGGCAGACCTGGGGTAGAAAGTTGGCAGGGGGACTTTTAAATTTTAAAAGGCTTACATACATAGCAAGCGTTCTCAGAGGAAGGAAAGACAGTCTTTTCCCTTACTTTCAACAGAGACAATTGTCTCCTTAAAAAAAGTCTTTACATTAAAAATTACAATTGTAAATATAATGCTTTTACAGGAGCAAAAGAGCCTATTGATTACAAATGAAAACATTAAGAGAAACAAAGGAACCTCCCTCTCTCTACTGTTTAATTGTTTGTACATTTTCCACATGTTTAAATAAAAGAGAAATATTTAAAATAATGTTATACAAATACAGACTATATTATGCTACATATTGTTTTTTATAATTTCACAAAATATGTATATTACTTCTGGTTAGTAGATAAAATAATATTTGACATTTATTACTTCTTTATACGCTAAGAAATATTCTACATGCTTTATATGTATTAATTTATTTAATCTTTTTAACAGTTCTGGAAGTAGATACCAACATTATTTCCATTTTACAGAGAATCAACTGAAACAAACAGTAGCTAACTAATTGTCTCAAAATGAGAATTACGGTTAAAATTCACTTTTAAAACTCATGATATTAATACATTTGTTACATTGACTCATTTATTTTTAATAAACACAGAGAATTTCATAGGATGGCTGTAATTTGTTTTGCCAATTTCCATTTGATATAGTCGGGTTATTTCCAGTTACTTGAGTGTGATGCCAACAATTCTGGAATAAACACATTGAATCTTACACTCCTATTTACTGGTGCTGAGGCAGGATAGTAAGAATCTAGGAAAATCCCTTGGCAAGTCAAATAGGGAAACTAAGACAGATAATTAAGTAGCCAAACAAATTATAACCAAATAATAAATTACAACCTCTTATCTTCCCTAACCAAGGACACTTAGCAGCAAATGGTTTACACAGTCCAGAGTGTGCTGGGGCACACCTGCCTCGGTTCCAGTTCCTCTTCCGCGACATGCTCTGAAAGGTGAAACTGACCAGAGAATGACCCTGACCTCTGTATATGCTCACTTTGATAAATGAGCATATTGAAGGGCACAAATGAAAAGCTAATGAATAATATATCAAGATCCTTCCCTGAACCCTCCCATAAAATTCCCACCTTTAAAAGACAGATAAACCTGGCTGGTGGGGCTCAGTGGATTGAATGTCAGCCTGCGACCCAAAGGGAAGCAGGTTCAGTTCCCAGTCGGGACACCCAGGAATGCCTGGGTTGTGGGCCAGGTACCCAGCAGGGGGTATGTGAGAGGCAACCGCTCACTGATGTTTCTCTTCCTTTCTTTCTCCCTCCCTTCCCCTCTCTCTAAAAGTAAATAAATAAAATATTTAAAAAATAAAAAAATAAATAGAACACAGAAAAAAATTCCTAAGACAAAGGGCCCAGTGCCCGTTTTCTCTTTTTCTCTCTTGAACAGGCCCATACCTTCCCCCTCTTCTTACCTCAGGCATGTACCTTCACTTTCTTTCTCCTAAGCTCTAAAGGTTCCCAGGAGACTAGCAACCAGGGGAGCAGTGGGCAGCAGCAGCTCATCTTGTTTCCCAGGGCCCATATTTTGCCTCTGTAACTTGTTTCCTGAGTCCATGCAGCCCCGCTGGCTCACTCCTTCTACCTCTGTGACTTTCTTTTTAAAGGGCCAAGGCGGCTGAACCTGGGGTTGACTCCCCATCACGTTTCCAAAAGGCCAAGGGAGCTGCACCAGGCTCACTCATGCTGCTATGGTGTTGCTTCTTCTATCTTAAGCCCTTCCTTTGTCTCACTGTCCCCAGCTTTAGGAAAGGTATTCTCAAAATCACCTGAGCTTGTACCGTGAAATCTTTCCTGTGTGAAGTCAAGAACTAATATATTTCCAACCCGGCAGGGACAGACCACAGGTTTCCCACACTAAATACTGGGTCAAAGATATGCGTCATTTAACTTCCACTGTCTATTACCGGGTCAGGTTCTAGAATAGGTTTCCATCCCCGTTATTTCTCAGCACTCCACCAACCCTGGGTTTTTTGTTGTTTTTTTTTCACATATTTTAACACAAATTCCATGGACCAAATCATCATTCTTCAACCTTCTGGTGAGCAAGATCTTTTGTGAGTAGTGTGATAGAGCAGCATCTCTCAACTGTGGGAGAGTTTGCCTTCTAGGACATTTGGCAATGTCACAGGACAGTTGTGCGTATTGCAATCAGTGTGGGGATTGCTACTGGCCCCAGCTTAGTAGAGAGACCAGAAAACACTGCTAAGCATCCTACAGTGCACAGATAACCCCTCCAAATAAAAAAGTGTCCAGTCTGAAGTATCAATAGTTGTGGAGGATGGTGAAGGCTGGCATCAAAAGCCAGGTTAAGCACTTGGCAAGGCGATGCTTGACCGCTTCCATCTGCAAGGCAGAGCAAGCTGGCAGCTGATGGCAGCCCGAGCCTGCGGGGGCTGGGAAGGAAATAGTTAACCGCAAGGTTCAGCTGAATGCGACTGCAGCCTTGGCAGAAGAAAGTTTTATCATTTCGGCAGCCTGGGAAACGAACAATCTTCACCTGCAGCTGCAGGACAGGACGTCCTTGAGCTTCATGGAACCAACCCCCATAAAATGAACACAGAGACCTAGTTCAGGGTCATTGTCTCTCCATCCGAGGACAATGTTCCCCCTGGCCCCCACTTTTCCTTAAACTGTCTTGTGTGTGTCTTTGTGTTGTGTTGTCTCTTTCTCAGTCTCCCGTCGCCCCCCACTCAGGGACCCCCACTCTGCAGGGGTTGCGGCAAATAATGACAAAGTTAATAAACCCTGGTTTGAATCACTTGAATTTTCTCATCTCTGTGAATTTGTGGTTTGTGAATATTTACACTGATTTTTCTGTTTTATATCATTGATTAGGATTTGAAAATGATAATATTTCATCTTGTAATGCAAACACTTACCCAGCACACTGTTGTCTGGTTTTTTGATTTATCTTTTTTACACTGCTTTTCACCGTTTCAAAGAGGTATTTCCTTGCATCTTCCCATTCTTTCATGGCTTCTGTATTTCTATTTCTTGACTCAAGAAAACCCTCCCAATTCAATGTATATATACAATTTTACTTAGATATGATTTTAATTATCTTATTTTACCATGTATTTAGGCAATTAATTACATGTCCTTTTTTTGTTTGTTTGTTTTAAAATACAACACGGAATGATGTTGCCACTAAGAGCGCTGGCCACTGGCTTCTTAACTGCCTTTTCCACTTCAGCTGTGACCTTGGCCGAGCCATTTAACTGTAACTTATGAAATCAAATGGTGGCTCAATATTCTTAACAGTAAAGCTGGGGAGGATAATAAAACATATATTCATCAGGATTAGATTAATTAATACAAATATGTTAATAATGTCCTGGATTTTCCTGGGTTTACTACATTTTCTCATAAGCTCCTACATGGATAGCAGGTACAAGGCACTTCACAAATATTGGTTGAGTTGAATGCATTGGGTACATTCTGTTCTAGCCTGTATTATTGATAAATATATAAATTATATAGAGAGCCTGCCCTCAGATTGCTTTTATTCAAATGAAATTATACCACATAACCTCTTTTGCAAATTTTGTAAATTTTTCCCCTAATGAAAGTATTAACATTATTTATTTTTATTCTGTGCATTGCAGACAATGCTGAACAGATTTCTTCAGTTCCTGTGTATGTACAAGTTCTTAATATTAACGATCATGCTCCTGAGTTCTCTGACAACTATAAGACTTATGTTTGTGAAAATGCAGGCTCTGGTCAGGTAAGACTCTAAACAATTACCGACATATTAAGTACATGCTTTTATGTTGTGCGCTCTGAATAAGTTAAATTCCTTTTGAAAAAAATAACGCATCACACATCACACCTTGACAGTGTTTCTATGCAATGTTCTTTTATATAATCTTTATTATATTTTTTCCATTATCATTCAGTCCCCTTATAACCCCCACCCCCAGCACTCACCACACTGTGGTCCATGTCCATGAGTCCTTTTCCCATTTGCTCAGTCCCTCCGCCCCCTAACCAGCCTCCCACTCGCTTCCCTCCACCCCGAACAGTCACCACACTGTTAGTACACACAGACGTCTGACAGCTCGTGCAGAATCTCCTAAGAAGGGCATGAGCCCTGTGTTAAGAACCTGTGATGTATGACACTACTTGTAACTACTGTTAATATTAACAAAATTACTTTTAACAAAGGCCAGTTCTGCCCATTTACTCACTTAATAGAGTTTTAAATTTACTAATTCTTATAAGATAGGAACTGTAGACTAAAAGTTGTATCACTTTTTTTGAATGACTCATAGCAAAAAAAAAAATAAGGACAAAATTAAACTACATACACTCAATAAACTACATAAACTGCATAAACTCAAACACAACATGTTATTAAACATAGGTTGACCATATAATATGTAAATTATAATTAAAAGCAATTTCTGAAAGTATTAAAAGGTAATAACTAAAAATAATGTGTGTAGGAGTGTGAATGTGTTGTTAACTTGTATATTCAACTTACTTTAAGTTCCAGAATTCATCACAATCTCACTACATGGTCTGGACAGCATATCTCTTCTTTTTTGACAATAATGAACAACTCGACTGACACATTCATGTCTTGAAAGAAAATAATTAATTGAGAACTGATTTGCTCATAGCTGCATTACTTCACTTTTTTATGATCTAAGATAATGGGATTATTTGATGTGGAACACTTTTCGTATCTTCTTTATGGGTCAAAGGAAATCATGTACATTGCTCCTTCACTTTAAGTGCATTGTTTTCTTAAAACAATTTTAAAAACTCATTACTTTAGCATATACTGTAGTAATACAATAAACTTCACCACAGTTATGTGTGCAGTATAAGTAGGGACTATGTGGTTGCAGCAAATCATAATGGTCGACATTCAGATAGCGAAGGGAGAAGGAGAGAAGGGATAAGGCGGGAAGGAGAGGAGGGAGTCTTTGAGAATGTCTAACAAACTTAGCTTATGGGAACCATCTGGCCCATCAACAAAAACTGTATTTATTATGTAATGTCAAAACTTGCCCCCTTTTGAACAGGGCAAATAAAGAACCTGAGAAAATATGTTAATATCTCCATCAATTTGATAGTTATCCTCTTCAATATCCATAAATATTTTTATAAAGCCATTTTAATAAAAAGCTAATAAGAACAACAGTGATCTTTTTCCTGAATGGAAAAAAAAAAACAACCTTTTTTTTTTCTTTAGATAATTCAGACCATCAGTGCAGTGGATAGAGATAAATCCATAGAAGATCACCATTTTTCCTTTAATTTATCTGTGGACAACAGAGATGACTCTATATTTACACTCATAGATAACCAAGGTAATTACATTCACTCATGATGGCTTTTGATCCACTCTCCTAGCATGGTGGTTGATTTTAAGTGAACTTATAGCATTGTTTTTTATACTGTTATAGCAACATAGCAATGTTGAGATATAGAACAAGAAGTGGAAATGAAAATGGGGAACAAAACCCTAAGTCAAGTTCTGAAAATACTACCCCCATTTCCTGCTGGATTTCTTGAAATAAGAAGTACTTTTTCAAGTTGTCAGTGGCTATAAGTCCTTGGAAAGTCGGAACGACTCTGTAAATATCATTTTAGTTCTGACACAATGGTCCTCTCATGTTATCATGTAACTCAAACTTCAGTCTATGTCTGGGGAGGAAATGATGCATCCTTAACTTCTAGTCTTGTTAGCTTCATTCATTCAAAGATAATTGGTGTTAATAATTACGGCTGTAACTATATGAAATTGATTTAATATTATTATTTTTCCTTCAAAATAAAATGATTATATCAACCCAAGGACAACATGTTCTAAAGAATTTCATATGGAGAGACAGAATTTCTTTTCCTTTCATATAGAAGTGATTAACTGTGTCTATTAATACAAAATAAAGTCCTGAGGCAAAATAAAGACATTGAAACAAAGAAAGTAATTGATTTGGTTTAATGTTTGTGGTTACAAATAATCTATATATTGGAAAAACATAAATTCTTTCACCTTTTATACCTGTCTAGTAACTAGACTCAAAAGGCTCTATGGACTTCAAGAGCAAGATGGAGAACTGGTTTTAAAAAGATGATGCGAGAAAAGCCATAACTAGGCATTTTTTTCAAAAGACTTTCATCTGTTTGTATTTCATAGTTTGTCTTCTAAGTTTGCATGATTGCTACAGGAAATGTCTGGGGGGTTGGAAGTACCAAAAACAAGAGCAAAAAAGGAAGACAGTACTGAGGCATAAGAAATTAAACTGAAACTGTTATTTCAATGATCTCTGTACGATTGCCTCTAGTACATGTGCCTGGTATGAATTTCTTATATGTTGTTGAAAAAATTATGCGCATGGATTTTTGTTTTAGATAACACAGCTGTAATTTTGACTAATAGAACTGGTTTTAGCCTTGAAGAAGAGCCTGTCTTCTACATACCCATCTTAATTGCTGACAATGGACTCCCGTCACTTACAAGCACTAACATCCTGACTGTCCACGTCTGCGACTGTGATGACAGTGGCAGCGCACAGACCTGCAGTGACAAAGGCCTTATGTTCTCCATGGGATTCAGGACAGAAATCATAATTGCTCTCCTGATATGCGTAGTGATAGTATTTGGTGAGTAGTGCTGAACTGAACATGTCTTCATTTATTGAAAATAACATGATAAATGTGGAAAATAGATCATTTCATTATGGCAGTACAGTGTGGCTTTGTGTGTGTGTGTGTGTGTCTTTAATTCCTCTTCTGAATGTTCAATATTACAATTCTTATATCAAGTGGAGTAAATTTAAAAATAGTGACTAAGCACTTCAAACTGAAAATCAACAATTCTTGAATTCTATGAGTATGTAAAAACGTGTGTGAACATTTGTTTAGGGATGTTTTTAACACAAACGCATTGCAAGAGATGTAGTTATATTAAAATTAGTAGTAATAATGGTGAGCTTCTGTTGAGTGCTTATTACACTCCAGGAGAGTGTCTTAAGTGCTTTTCATACATATCGCAATTTGGTCCTCAAAATAAACTTATAAAATAATAACTATTACCACCAGTGTTGAGTAGATGATGAGAGTAAAGCTCAAAGAATTATGTGCTTCACAAAGGGTCACACAGCTAATAAATGATGTTTTGAGACTCCATAACCATAATATATCGCTATTCAACCCTATACTTCAACTCACTAGCACCAATGGAGCATTAAAAAGAGAGTAAATGTTAGTACGGAGAAATGTAAAAGAGAGAGTTTTACTTAGTCCAAGTGCTAAACACAAAAGAAATCACAGTCAAGTAACTTTATTATTTTTTGTTAGTTGTTGTTATTGTTTTCACAAGAAGATGAATTATACTCATTTTACTGATGAGGCACCCCCAAATCTTTTATGTTGCCAAGCTTTCAAAACAATAAACGATTGATCTAGCATAAGCTTTTACCTTTCTTTAACCTATCAGTATCTATAATTTAGATACTAGATACTCTTGCTGACCCTCCTTACTATATAGTAAAACCAACACAACCTTACAAGTGTTGAAAGCAATGGTATCAGCCACCGTCTCTGCAATCCCGAATTCACAGCTCAAACTCAAGTGTGATCTGTTCCAGGACGTGCTTTGCCTTCGCCCCCCTCATCTTTCTCCAGCCTTCAAAGCCATGCACTCCTCTTTTGCCCTCCGACATTCCTTTATGCCTAGCTTCAGTGTTTCCAGTTATTTTTAACGATCTTTGATCATAAAAATGAATTTAGAGCTACATAGTTAAACATCAGAATCAAGAAGCAGTTGAAATAGTGTAGTGTTTGAGGGATGGCAAGTACTGAATTACTATACTCAACCTAGGTCCTGATACCCTACAGGTAAGCCCCACAGCCAAAGGTGTGCGTCATATTTAGAGGGAGGGAAGCCGGGTCATCCAATGGCAGTTCCCTCAGAAAGCTTTATGAGTGCTCTCCAGTTCATAGATATAGAAATGATTTGTTAGACCTCTTTGTATTTCAACCATTTATCTCAGATGAGTTTTAAAGTGTAATGCCTGAATTTAAACATGACGACCTTCTTTGATTCAAGAGCAGCATTTCAATATTTTAAATGTAAGGTTTATATAAAATATTGCCTAACATACTTGTCTTTGTGATAATATTAATGACATCTATTCAGTTTTGGTTTCAGTCCTATCTGTGAAATTCAGAATGGCCACATATGACCCAAGGCTGAGTAAGAATTTGCTGGCAATGCTACACACACACACACACACACACACACACACACACACCCCTTTTAAAACAAAAATAAAATGCTCTGTTCAGAAATTGTTCCATTGTTACATGATATAAAACTTACCATATAGACAAATATTGATTAGTGACATACTAGTGTCATGATTAAAAGACTTGATAGTTTGTAATTTCCAAAATTAATGTGGTCGCAGAGAGTGGAGATTCTGAAACAATGATCTGGTTTTGCGTGACAGCTCTCTGTCTTCTTGCTATGGGATTCTGAGCGTGAGATTTACCATCTCTGGGCTTCAGTTTCCCATCTTTCATAGGGAATAATGAAAATAGGCGGGTCTCATAACAAATCAATGAATAGACTTAAAGCTTTTATAAAAATGCCTGCTGCCTATTTTGTAATCAGTAAATATTAACTTGGAATATAATTATGCTGCAGAATTTCCCTCACTGGGGACTATCAGACTGGTCCATTTTGTTCGACTTCTATTAACCTGGATCTTTGCTAAATGGACAAATGCATATGGATTGAAAAATGTTCCCATATTCTGCTTTGTTCTATTTCCAATACATAAGAAAAAATAAAGTTTTAGGTTTTTAATTGATCATCATCAAACACCTTTCATTGTATTTCTGTGATGTTTTTCTACTCTAAGTCACCAGCCAGGAAGTTTGTTATGTTTCCTATGTCATTCTTCAAGCCCCTTTTGTAAATTTTCAACAGCAACTATATTTTGGTCTTAAAAATCACAAAATCTAAGCTTATGCCTTTAGCTTATAACAAAAGCAAATATTATAAAGGTTATTATGAAGAATATATCATGCTGTATATTATATTGTATTAATATTATATTTTATTAATATTTTGGTTTATTTTCTTTTTCAGGGCTTATTCTTTTGATCCTTGGTCTGAAACAACGAAGAAAACAGACTCTATTTCCTGAGAAAGGTGAAGAGTTCAGAGAGAATATCTTCAGATATGATGATGAAGGGGGAGGAGAAGATGACACAGAAGCCTTTGACATTGGACAGCTGCGGAGCGGCGCGATCCTGAGGGAGCACAGGGCTCGGAAGACCACCGCCGGGGAGCTCCGGAGCCTGTACCGGCACTCTCTGCAGGTTGGCCCAGACAATGCCATCATGAGGGAATTCATTCAGGAAAAGCTCCAGGAAGCTAACACTGACCCCTGCGCCCCTCCTTTTGACTCCCTCCAGACCTATGCTTTTGAGGGGACAGGGTCATTAGCTGGATCCCTGAGCTCTTTAGGATCAGCAGCCTCTGATCAGGACGACAATTATGATTACCTTCATGAACTGGGGCCTCGCTTTAAAAGATTAGCGTGCATGTTTGGTTCTGCTACGCAGTCAAATAATTAGGGCTGGGGTGGGGAGGGTTGGAGGGCTGGGTGAAGAAGGGAAAGGGATTAGGCAAAAAAAAAAATCAGACACAGACAACACTATGGTGATTGCAAGAAGGAAAGCGATGGAGGAGGCCAAAGCGGGGAAAAACGGTGGCAGAAGGAGCCTTGACTTTGGGTGGTGAGCACACCATGCCGTTTGCAGATGCTTTATTATAGTTGTACAGTTGAAACCTGTATGGTTTTATTCATCAATGTCACCCCGATAAGTTCAATTAAAACTAAAAGGTTAAAAAATGTTGATGTGCTTTTGGGCAAACTGGTATTCTCTTGGTAAGGAGTTGTATGTTACAGTTCTTTGGGGGGAAAAAGACCTGATTTATAGTGTTTTCTGATTTCCCTGAAATAAATACCCATGGTTATTTCCAGCCAGGCCTGTGTTATCAAGGCGCCTGCAGCACAGCGCTGACCTGTTCTCCTAGTAGGGTTTTCAGCGCTCTCCGATGCAAGTTCTCAACGCTTTTGAATGATCAGTGTGGGAAAGGCACCGGACCTAGAGCATTTTAGCAGTATTTCATTTATGCGTTTATTAAATCTTACCAAATGAGAGTAAAGTATATATGTATGTTAAGTTCTTGATACTGTACACAGATAAAAATAAAACACCTAGGAGAGTATGGGTAATCATATAAAAGTTAAAAAAACTGTTTCACTTACATAAATAACAAGTTATTACTAGGATTCTATGATTTATTCTAGTTTTATATTTTTAAATCTTTGTCAAGAGCACACTTTAAAACTGATTTCCAGTTTAGACAGCTAATTGGTATATGTTAATTAAATATAGATATAATATAAATGTGTATTATTTTTGATATTATGGCTTTGTATAAAAAGGAGGGATAAATATGTTTAGGAGTTTTTCATGAATTGGGTTCATGTGTAACCAGAATACATCTTTATCATGTCATAACACAATTACAACATATTTATTCATCATTAAATTTAAACATTATGAAAATGGGGGAAAGTGTGAAAAAAATTAAGTGAAATTTTGTTGCTAGTAGAAGGACAGAAATGAATGAAAGGAGAGATGGATTCAAATGTGAATAAATATTCATTCTAAGTACTATGATCAACTGCTCTGAATCCTACCACACACAGGAAAAAACATGATAAAATTCTCAGCATTTTCTTCAGAAATTAAACTATAGCTTATTCTTCAGTGTCTTTTTTTTTTAAGACCTATTTATTTTTAGACAGAGGGGATGGAGAGGAGAAAGAGAGGGAGAGAAACATCAATATGTGGTTACCTCGTGCTTGCCACCTGCTGGGGAGGTGGTCTGCAACCCAGGCATGTGCCTTGACTGGGAATCAAACCTGTGGCCCTTTGATTTGCAGGCCGGCACTCAATCCACTGGGCCACACCAGCTAGGGCAAGTCAGTGTCTTTTTTTATTGTGGAATATGGAATTGGGTGCAATAGTTACTTTTACTGGAACACTGTGAAGAATCAATGCTAAACTGCTGGGCATAAAGCTTTATGGTAATATTAGATAAGGTAAAACACTTTAATTTTAATCTGCTCTCTAAGAATGGCCCTTATTAGTCTATTTAAATCAAGGTGGAATTAGAAATGCATAGTTTAAATAGAAAGAAAGTAGTGAATATAATTGTTAGGTAGTGGCTAGGAATGAGCAGCCCTGCCCAGTGCAGCCTAATACAGGACTTAAAGCTGAAAGCTGGAAACACACCAGAGCCCGGCCTCACCTGTTGACCCAGCAGTCCTGAGCTCGGTCCGCCAGGATCGCCAGGCTCTCCCAACGTCCCGTGGGAGGGGGACCCTTGGAGCTTTGTGTTATCATCTCAACCAGCTGGAAAAGGAAGGCTTTGAAGCTGTGCATTCATCCCAAGACCTGGAGCGGGGAGGAGGAAGGGGAACCTAGGAACTGACTACAGTATGTAACCCCTGAACCCCAATAATCAGGGCACTCATACAGCTCTGGGCTTAAGACTATATAATAAACTTACTAACAACTTTATTCCCTCTCTCCATGGGGCATTCAGGCTACCTGGGTGCCTGCCTGCAGTTTCTTGCTCAAGTGTATTTTTATAAATAATCTTGCTAACTCATTTGCACTATGTGAGCTTTCTCTAGCCTGAATTTTCTTGCGAGCAAGGCAAGAACTGAGGAGCAGAAGCCCCCAACTCCAGCCTCAAAGGTAACACAATAAAAAAATTGGTTTACATGTTCATTTTCTATCAGTAACGTGTGAAACTTGAGCGGAGCCACGTTGGCCATACATGTTTAAATCAAATGTTTTTGAGTAATTTTGAACTAAAGATACAGTCATTGAATGGCTACAATATTTTTTCTTTCTACTTTGAAATGTCAATATCCACACCATGTAATAAAAGAGAGTTTTTTCATCGATATTAATCAAGTACCATTATGTCGTTGACACAGATATCATCACTTTACAAAAGCCATAGAAAATTAGACTTGAAATACAACAATTTAGGATGGCATTAAAAGTACATGAGAGTAAGTAGATATCATTATTTCTTTAGGGGAAATTAAGAATATTAAACAGAAGAAAATTTTGAAAGAGTAAAAACCTGCAAATAAAATAGTTTTTGAGTTCAGATGACATTTATACTTCTATGTTAACATAAAAATTGAAAAAGTATAGTTAGATACATTTTTATAAATTAGCTCTTGCAGGATTTTCCCCAGTATTTAAAAAAATAATGCAATATAATTATGGTTGAAGAACTGGAAATTATAATAAACAACCGGTGAAGCAATCTATGGGAAATAGATTAGAAAAAAAAAAAGAAGGTGTAATAGAGATGCAGAAGGTTCTGTCATAGATGAAGCCCTTATAAACCACGTTCCAGTGTGGAGGAACACCTCATAAAAACACACAATGATCCAACGTGTGCATCAACCAGGTTTTATGTTTGTGTCCAGTGGCCTTAAGCAGCTATGTTAAGTTCTGGTTTGGTTAATGATAGAATTGTCAATCATAGGATACATAGAAGAGAACACCTGGTTGCATAGCTATCTTCTAGTCTAAAAAGTGTCCTTTGAAACTGCTTCAAAAAATGCTATCTCACTGTGTTAGAGAAGCGGTAACATCCTATAAATTGACCTTGGCAGTATTTGAATACCTATTTTAACCTTTTCCTAGTCATGGCTGTTGCAAGAAGACAGCTGAATCCTAAGCTGAAGACATGGCATTAGGATCTCATCCATTCCCATTTTAATAGAGGCTCCATCAATGCAAGTATTTATGAAAATAGCAGTGCTTCAGATTAAGACCCAAAGAGCTTCAATACCTCCCTTCGTTAACTCACAGCGTTAGACATAATCTTAAATTGCTAATGGTTGAAATGGGAAAATACTCAGTCCTTTATAAGAATCAAAAAATGCCTTAATAATAGATGTTCACTCAGTGCAGGAGCCTGAGGCTCACAGAGTGAGTTTGAATTAGTTCACTTTTACCTGAATAACTGGGCGCACTTTGTGTAACTGCCTAACTTTCTGGACCAGAGCCTGGAGTCTGGAAGATAAGGCCCAGAGTCCTGCTTTCACGTGAGTGCTGTGAAGAGTCGGTCAGACAAGCAGCAGGGACCCTTCGGGGCACACGGGCGAGCTCCGCGCCCACCAGCACCGAGGCCAGGCTGACACTGTTCTGCCTGAGAGAGTGGGTCCCTTCCCCGCTCCCACTCATTGAGCCCCGCGGCTTCACGGCACATGTGGAATTCAAACCAGGGTCCTGACCCGGCATGTAAAGTCATGCATTATCCTTTCTCTGCTTACACCTGCAGTCTCTTAACTCTTCCAGTCTCAGCTTCGAGGTTGTTCCAGGCCTCGAAATGATTCCTGCAAACACTAGTAGGAATCTTGCACAGAAGCTAGGAGCTGAGAGGGAGCTTACATCAATCATCTAAGGAAGATGTAACGTGGGCTGCAAGACACCAGGGACCAGAAAGGCTCGAACTCGCTCCCAGTATCCCGTGGAAGTGGCCCAGGATAGAGTGCCCGCTGTTGGACAGTGGGATGGCTGTCACCGCCCGGGACTCCGCAGTAGAACGATGGTAGCACCAGCGGGGTTTGTCGGCCCCCTTGCCCCTCCTTCCATCCCCACCCAGACACCAGAGGTCCCGAGGCAGCCAAGAAAGTAGGAGCGGGTGAGAGGCGGGGCCTTACATTGGATGTGAGTTTAAAGGCTTCTGGTGCAGAGGGGGTCTAAGGGGACTCAATACTAATGGGAAAATATACAATTAAAAAAGTAAAGACAAAAAATAAAATGGATTTTTAAAAAACTATTTGGCAATGACCAGAAGTTATGCAGACTGTCTGAAATTTGGCTAATGTGGGCATCAGAAAGAGCGATGCAAATGTGCTCTGTCTGAATAAAATAAAACGTTTTCATGATGTTTCCTTCAATTGAAGGAAACTGAATAAAATAAAACATTTTCATGATGTTTCCTTCAAGTTACAAACTAATCAATAAACTGAATATATTAGCATATCGAATCAATTTGGCATTTTGCAGAGTTCAAATACATAATTTAAAATTCTATTTTCTAATACAAACCATAAGCAAAATACAAAAGAAGTACATATAATTTATAGTGTTTTTCCAACATTTGAGAGCCTATTAAAATAGTATATACAGCTTTATTTCATGTCATCCTTTGTGCTTATTCATTTCAATATTTAAAATGTGATATGTTCTATTAAGTTCTGCGGGGTTAAGTGATTTGTCTCAGCTACAAATAAGGCTGGGCAAGGAAGCAGCCATATATTCACAACTATGTACAGGTAAAAATCTGCTGACTGTTTTGTCTCGCAAAGGGAGAGGGATGATGCATGGGGTTCATGTGTTTCCATTCGTGACCTCACAAGCATGCTAGTGAGAGTAAGTCGTCTGTGAAGCACATTGTAAATTATCTTCCAGTTGTGAACAAGTCTTTGGTAGGTCAACTTTAGTACACTATTGAAAACTTT